TATTGAATTATTCATAAGTACAAATATGTATCAATATGATGATCAAATAAATATCATCAGAATCTTTCTCTCGATATTTATATAATGAATATATACTCGTTCTTTATTTTTTCTTCATTTCAAGTAAAAAGATCGAATGAGATAGACACACACACACATCTAATATTTTTTTTGATGTATTTAAATATTACATTTTCTTTCTCGAAACATTTATATGTATTTTAATAATAATGAATAACGTCATATTTAATTAAAAATATTAGATATCGATATAGAAGTATATGATGTGAAGAAATATTTTTCTCTTCGATATGAATAACAATGTCTAATATTCATAAGACAAAAATATATATTTGTATCTCAATTTGAATAAAATAAAGTGTAAATAAATGTGAACATATAATTGATTGAATAATTACATAAATAAATATTTAATTTCTTAAAAATAAAAAATTAATTATTACAATAAAAATTTTAAGAAAATAAATGATTAAAATAATAATTTAGTTTATTCAAAAATATTATTTCAGATATCAAATTGATAAAGTCAACTAGATATGCGTCTGTAAAATCCTAGCGTTAAATATATTTGATAATGAATTAAATAATAGGCGCGAGAATTTGTTGGGGACAATTAATTACAAAAAAAGTGGTTCTATTTATATTTATATGTCTGATAACTATACATGTAATTTTCGTAAGCGAAACTCTTAATTTATTTGTTTCAAATTCTTGGGAAAATAAATATAAAAATTTATTAATCCTTTATTTCTAAGCGCTTAAATATCTTTGTAAAGAAGTATTTATAAAATATATACATTTCATGAAATATGCTGAACTTATTTTACTATTATCAAATGGCTTCATTAATATTAGTTTGATTATAATTCACGTAATATTCATATACGTAGCAGGATGTGGGTATAATCTTAGTCCTTCACTCATACTCACATCGTCGTGAGATTTTGCTTACAAGTATAGATCCTATAATTCAAGGTGTATTCTATTAATATCCGCTAACTTGTATATATATTCTACTTCGAATTTGTTTTACCATAGTTCGTAAAATAGCAAAATTTGAGTAGTAATACAAACTCTTCTCTCTCTCAATATGCCATTTCGAATGATCTTTGGCCCATACAACTGATTGCTGCTACAGCAGTGGCTCAGTATCTGCATTTGTAACAATCGTATCTCGATAAAGATTCTAAACAGTTTGACCATATTGATTAACTTCACGAGTCATAGGACGAATAATTCCGTCTATGATGAAATGCCAATAGCGATCGATTATATTATTTTCAGAAAAAGAAGTTACTTCCTGGGCGAGTTCATGTTCGTTTAGGAATTCTTCATTTGATTCTCACTCTGGATTATTAACAAATTCTCCGTCGAAATTTTCAGATTCAATGTTTATTCATCTTTTTTAAACGGTATACCGCAACTATTTTACAATTTCTATCGCATGCATACGCAGAAGAAGAAAAAAACAAGGATATAAAAGACAAAAATAGTAATTTTCTTCTCATATCTCACCTATACAACCTATGAACATGCAAAAAAAATAATTCATCATTTGGCCTTACACAGAACAGAACGATAAATAATCGTCAGAAGATTATACAAAGATCATTTAATGTATTATTTTTTAGAAATTAAATACGCATGAAAATGAACATCTGCAAAAGTTTTCCAAAAAAAACCTGAATCGTGTTAAATACAATATATTTCTAATGATAAATATTGTTTTTTTAATCCTTTTTCATTTATCTTGGGCAACGTTTTACGTCATTCTCTCTTTTTCCCCGATATAATCATAATAAATGTTATTTTATTCACCAGAGTTTTTACATTAATACAAAATAACAACTCACATCTGCACAATATTTTATTTAAAACTGACTTTGAAAAAAGTAAGTCAAATTATTGTTTCTATCAATATACCATTTTTTTTCTTCCACATGTTACAATATTTTTAAGAGAAGAGCTATTTTTTTATTTAGTTGATAAGAAATAGAGAAATTGATATTATTTTCACATTTGTTTTTAATCCTACTACATCAGAATACATCGAAACTTTATTTTAACATTGTTCTATTTTGATTAATTAATGAATTTTTATCGATTTTAGATTTGAAAAATATTCAAATTTAGATTGAACAACAAGTATGAATATCGATGATACAGTAGATGTTGATGAAGTAATGTATTAAATAGGAAAGAAAATAGAATAAAATAATCTTTTTCAATATTTTAGTCTATAGTAGTTAACTTAAATGGAACACGATTACAAACATTGTATGTATATGATGAATTAAAATAAATTATCAAAAGAATTTTTTATTTTTTTAGATTCGAACATTTTCGAAAACGAAAATTAATTTTGATAATAGTTTTGATTATTTTAATTGTTGCAATTATTGCTATTCCAACAATTATTGTTACAGTGAACAAAGGAAAAGGAGAAAAAACATCAACAATACAGATATCAACAGTAGAAATAATAACAACAACAGCAGAGACAACAGCAACCGGTATGATTTTGTTAGAGCTAATTCTTTTCTTTTTAGAAGTAATTCATCAAAGATAAATTAGTTTTAATATTGATTTTTCTTTATTCAATCTTTAAGATATTATTCGAATAATGACATAAAATAGATTAATCTTCGGTAGTGACAGTCATAAATTATACTTTTATAGAATAGTATTAAAAGGCTCGCTGAAGGGCAAATGAGAATGTAGTATCGAATTCATACCTCATCCGTCTACAATCACACCTACCTCTCTCATAGTTTATATATAGTGATCTTGAAATATTCTGTTCATTAAAATAAGATATGTTTTTCTTGTTAAGAAAGAATTTATAGATCGAAAGAAAAGAAAAAAAATTTTAATCTTTTTTATATCTTTATAGAAGAATTAATTCCTTCCGTTGTTATTAATGAAAATACAAAATGGAAACAAAGTGCAATTACTGTTGCTGGAGGAAATGGACAAGGAAATCAATTAAATCAATTAAGTCGGCCTTTGGGTATTTATGTTGACGATGATAGTGAAAGCATTTATATTGCTGACATTGGGAACGATCGTGTTGTTCGATGGAAATTTGGTGAAGGCATTGGTGAAATTGTTGCAGATGAAAAAGGACAGGACAGTAACATAAATCAATTCAATCAGGCAGTTGACATAATTCTTGATAAAGAGAAAAAATCTGTTATCATTTGTGATCCGTCCTATATACAAGTGGTCCAATGGTCTCTTCAAAATAGTCAGGATAAACAAATATTGATATCTGATATTACTTGCTGGGGTTTAGCAATGGATAGTAATAGAAACCTTTATATTCCTGACTGGGAAAGACATCAAGTCAGACGTTGGCAACAAGGAGATAAAGAAGGTACAATTGTAGCAGGTGGGAATGGACAAGGAAATCACTTGAATCAATTAAATGAACCTCACTATATCTTTGCCGATAAAAATCATTCAATTTACGTAGCCGATTATTTGAATAATCGTGTGATGAAATGGATGAAAAATGCGACTGAAGGAATTTGTGTTGCTCCAGGAGAAGCTTCTAGCGAAAATCCAAATTCACTAATTAGACCCATGGGTGTGATTGTTGATGATGTTGGTAATATTTACGTGTCGAGTGAGATAAGCCATCAAATAACACGTTGGTCACCCGGTGCGATCGAAGGTGTTCCTGTCATTGGTGAAAAACAATCTGGAAATAGATCCACGCAACTCTTTAACCCACGTGATTTATCATTTGATCGACAGGGTAATCTTTATGTTGTCGATAGACTCAACCATCGAATACAAAAATTTGTTATTGATCGTGATTAAAATAAAATTTTTGATGATAAAATGACTTTTGATAAATATTTCTTTTTGTCACTTTTCAGTATTTTTCATTAACAACGAATAAAATTCTTAAAAATTATGAATAATCTAATTTGACATTTATTTTTTAGACAGTCTTTTCAGATTCTTTTATTGTTGCCTAGAAATATTTTGCCAATCGCCAGAATACAATGTTCTAATAGAAATCTTTCAATAATATTTCTATGTCTAGATAGTTAAAACTAGTAAAACTATGGAATTGAGAACATGTGATAATAGAGAGGGTGTGGGATAAGAGAAGAGACACCGACATTCACACCAGAGACCGTCACAGGAGGCTTTTTTATGCTTTGCGATGAGAACAAACTATCTTTGCCCTGTTTTGTCCTGACTCGCTCTCACTGTAACAGAAATATGAATAAGATATATATATATAAATAATAAATAAATATCTTTTATTGAATAAATAAAAGAAAAATGCAACAACAAAAGTGTTCAACTAGTTTCTATGGCTCCCTAATTGTGCTTATGGTGCAGACTCTTTTTCGTCTTCGAGTCTTCAAGGGTGTGGGTGTGGATTATTTAAGAACCAGACTGAGACCCACACCCTTATCAGAGAAATAATTAACATAGTTTTAAATAAGGATAATATCGATGGTATCATTCTTTTTCGAATCAACATGATCTAAAATACATACGAAAAAAATATTAATGTTAGCAGCAACAGTTATTGCTAAGTTACTGCCAACTTATTTGATCACGCTCGTGATCAAATTCCTATGTACCCCCCCCCCCCCTTTTCTTAGTGTCTTCGTAGTTTCTCACTAGCTTCTGTTAGTTTTTCTCTTTTCTCTCTCCCGCTATATATTTTCTCTCATTTTGTTTTCTCTCTAGTTCATCTTTTCATATTCTGTTGATCTTTTGTCCTAGTGCATATCACTTGTTTTTCCCTCATCTCTTCCATCTCCTCTTTTTCATCCCTCTCCATTATCATTGTTTTGTCCCTTTCATTTCCTGTTTATTTTAT